TGTCCAATATGTGAGAGGGAGCTCACAGGCATGAGCACTCTGGTTCGTCGCACATTCGTCTCAGACTTTGTCGATCAGCTGAGCGACTCCTTGCAGGAAATCCATGACCACGTCGACGCGTGTCTGAATGCGCTCCCTGCCACGGAACCTGCCTCTGCCCCGGATGCATCGTCCAGCGCAAAGCCTCTGCGTCCCTTGTCCTCTCTACGGGCGCCGCAGCCACCCAGTCTTGACAAGGCTGCGTCATCAAACTCTGTGAAGAAGGAAGAGGGCGACGGAAACGTGTTCTCAATGCTTATGACGTCTTACAAGGAGAACGAGGCGTGGAAGGAGGCGTCAACAGTGGAAGACCGGAACTTCCGGCCAACGAAAGCCAACGGAGGACGACGAAAGGCTCCATTCTACAAGATCATGCAGGGCATGCCGATCGCTGTAGATGCGTTTCGGTATGGCACCATCCCGAACGTCACAGCATACTTCCTTACGTATGTGAGCCTTGCCTGGCATAGACGTGCAGCTCTGACCATGAAGTTGCTCCCAGACATGCACATTCTGATCACTATACGAACCTGTCCGCCAGATGGGACAGCGGGCCTATCTATTGCTCGCAAGGAACAGCGAACCTCATCATCCACATGCTTGGCGTGGACCCGAAATGGGTGCACCCACTACCCATGGACGTCCCAACCACAATACCGAACACCGGCAGTGTGCAGGTCACCCTTATAGAGGCCAATCACTGTTCGTCCTCACCTTGTCATGCGTTGCCTTGTCCCTGCTGACGGTAGTCGCATAAACCAGGTCCGGGATCATGTCTGTTCCTGTTTGAAGGCAAGCAGACTATCAATGCAGGCGACAGCGCATACAAGTCACCCTACGTCGGCTCGGCGAAGGTCTTTAGATACTTGCACTGCGGCGACTTCCGCGCGTGTCCACAGCATGTGTTGCATCCCGCGGTCAAGGGGAAGCGCATAGACCACGTCTATCTCGACACCACGTATCTAGATCCCAAGGTATGTCGGTGTTGCGAACAATACTCGTATCGATGCTGACTGGTCGCTTTGCAGTACTGTTTCCCGCCCCAGCCTCTCGTTATATCTGCCTGTGCCGAGCTGGCCAAGCGACTGGTGCAGGGGAAGTCTGTGGAAGAAACTCCCTCCAGTGACGGAAAGTTGCGAACCATGGCTGGCTGGTTCACCAGGGTGGAGAAGACCGAGAATGGCAAGGAGAAAGCATCTGCCCCTCCGGAGAAGATTCTCATCGTCGTTGGGTCAGTAGAGACCAGTGCGCATTCGTTCGCTAGCTTACTCCGTTGCACAGGACGTATTCCATCGGCAAAGAGCGCATTGTGAAGGGTAAGACAAACCAATCTCCGGTTGCATCGAGATAGCTGACGTTCGTCCAGCCATCGCAAAGGCGCTGAACACCAAGGTGTATTGCGACTCTCGGAAAGCGGCGATCCTGCGTTGTCAATCTGACCCAGAGCTCGACGCCCTCCTGACCACGGATCCGAAGACAGCAGGTGTTCATCTGGTGCCGTTGGCCGTCATCGCCTCGGACAGATTGAAGACGTACATGGAGCGTTGGAAGGGCCACTGGACGAAGGTGATAGGGTTCCGGCCGACAGGTTGGACGTACGTCCTACCAGAATACCTTGCAATGCTTCGTGACCGGCTGATTCCAATCCCATTACAGGTTCACAGCACCCAATGGCACGGACACGTTGCCGTCGATACCAAGCGTCATCTCTCGCTCGCAGAGCCGCACCTTCACCCACGCGAACCTGCAGCCGATGCGCAACTCGACGTTGGCCTTGCAGGTGTACGGCGTGCCGTACTCTGAACACAGCTCGTTCTTCGAGCTGACGTGTTTTGCGCTGTCGTTCGATTGGGTACGGATGATCGCTACGGTAAACGTGGGGAGCGAGACCTCTAGGGGGAAGATGGCGAAGTGGGTCGAGCGGTGGGAGGCCGAGAGGAAGAAGCGAGGGAAGGTCGAGGTGGTGAAGTATCGGACATCAGAGTATTGGTAGAGTTCACGGTAACTCGGGTCTACGGTACATGATAGTTTGTATGACCTCTCCTCAATCATTTGAACACCGCGATGTCTCTTGGCCGCATATGTATCAGTTGTGAGGCGGAGCTGGATCGCGGCGGTCCATGGCCACCGGCAGTACTGCTCCTCGCCATTGTCGGCCACCGCCGGTGGCGGGCAGGCACTTCTCCAAGCCTCCTAGCTCCGTGCCGTTGCTCATCATCCTGCTAGTACTCTCCTCTAGGGAGCCATCCTCGCTCTGCGCGAGAAATCCAGCCGACATCGTAGAGCCAATGGAACCGACCACACGTTCGAAGTTGATCGAAGACGTCGCGTGGGCAGTATCCGTGCTTTCATGGGATGCGTCTTCCGAGCCCGAGCAGATATGAACCGCTTCGCTGTTGGCGTGTTGCAAGTCGAGCAGGAAACGCGAGACAAGGATCGCGGTAAGCCTGGCACGACAAAAGCGAAACATGGTTGGTAGGCCGACGTGTGGCATTGACGGGGAACGTACGGGAGGGTGAAGATTGTCACGCTGCTTGCGGGGGTCGACGGGGCCACACCAATCTGCGAAACGACGTGAGCGTGAGCCCGGGCGGACGACGGGACAGGGTCGCGACGTACGGAGACAAGTGTCAACGCCAGGTGCAGAGTGTTCAAGACGAGCATAACACTAGGCCCGACGCCGATGGCTGAGATGTGCTCTGCTTGAGGCCGGATGCTGGACACTCACATGAAGTAGATCATCCCTGGTAAAGCCCCAGCCAGATAGTGAGGACATGGTGGGAGTCCGCAACTCAGGATGGCGCTCACCATGTCGAACGAACACGGCCGTGAACGACGTCGTTCGCATTCCGTGAACGTGCTTGAGGAGGCTCCACCATGTGATCCCAATGAGGAGCAAGTCAAAAGCGATCTGTGTCGTCCGCGACACGATTGTGACTGGTGCGAGGACCAAAACCGTCAGTGTTATGGAATCCCCGTCTGAGGGGTGCACCTACGCCTGGCAGTTTCTAGGAGTCAGTCACGATCTCCGGACGGGTAGCTATCATGGGACGACGCACCGTTGACCTAGTTCCTGACTGAGTCCCGGGGTCACTGTTGCGCATCCAACGATGGGGTCCATGATACCGGTGAGACCCTTCCCGTACTGGAGCTGTATGGCATACTCGGTCAGCTATCGTAAGCAGCGCATTCAGGGAAAGCTTCGTCGCGCACCATGTTAATGCCGTAGGGTACGAGACCCAAAAGGAAGACCTGCCACGGCCAGAGACCAGTTTCTTCCGGTGAGCGCGAATGCTCTCATTGCGGCGAAAGCTTGCGGCGACATCACCATGAGCGTTCTACGGCCCGGAGATGATCTGCGACCAAAACGGCTCACCTGCCCATGGTAGGTACTGGGCAAAGTAAATTGCGAACTGAGTCCTGACGAGGCCCGTACAACTAGAGATGTTGCGTGTCTGCGTCAGCGAACAGCAGCACCTGGAGGCAGTGAAGCAGCGCAGAGATCGGAGACGTACGCCTGTTTGAACGAGGTCATGGCGTAGACATGCGCAAGATATTGGGACGACGTACCATTTCAGATGACACAGTCTCTCCGACGACAATCAAGGTGGAACTGAGCACCAAGAGGTAACGGTTGAGCAGAAACAGAGCCGTGGCACCGGTGAATCTGCGCTTCCAGAATATCAACACTTCTTGCCCGAGGGTGATGGCATACTCGTAGAACACGAGTGCTAATAGCACAGGGGGGTGAGTCACGTATTGGCCGTTGTCTTGTCAGAGACTCACTCAAGGTCGCGTATGCGCATGCGGTCGAGATGAACCTGCGGGACGACAGATGTCAGAGGTCAATATAACTACATATAAGGTGATGGAGGCTCCAGGAGGAACACCCACAGGGCCTGGTAGACGGCGATGATTTGGGCGGCAGCGTCAGGTCCTGCGTATGAAGACATATTAGCGAGAGGGAGTGGGGTCGTGAAGACGATAACCTCAAGTTCACATTGAATATAACCGAGCAGACTCACCGCCTTGCTCCCGCTCGCAGTACTTCGCTGTAGTATATATCAGTCAGCTCAATATACCTTTGCGATGGCTCTAGGTAGCAACCATGCCCGTGCTTCTCGTTATATAATAGTTAATAGACAGATGAGTAGTAGCAGCGGTCGTGAAGCGGAGCACTTACGACAGGGCTTATTGACAGCAGTTCACCACAGTCAAACAGCTCTCAGGATAGAAGAACAAAGCCTACCACACGCAGTGACAGATCTGCAGGATACAACCGATTGTATCCCTCGGCCTCGGTATGTAGCCAGATTCTTGTCCTCACTACGTACGCACGTCGCATGGTCATGATTCGGGGAATTTTGAAGTCTCCTGAACGGTTCTTGAGGTGAGTCGTGCCCATTAACAGTAATGCATGGAGGAGATCTATTGGAAGTCTTCCCAGGTCAGTGCTAGAGATCTGGAGGGTATTTCGAACGCGTGCATTTATCAGCAATCGAACATAGGAAATGAGGGTGACTGACGGATGCGGAGGATCGACATATCTGCCACTGCATTAACATCATGCTCGTCGGCGCAGCTGCCAATTACTCGTACCAGGATCTACTGGCCATTTACGACATAGAGATGTTGGGAGGGGGGGGGGGCGGGGATACTGGTGCCATCTGTAGCAGCTGTGGTTACGTGCAACCAAGCCATCGAACCGCGAATACTGACTCGCTGTACCGTTTACTTCTACGCGTACATCCATCATGTTACATCGCGGCCGTATGAATCAGCGAAGGCGTCAGGTGCATCCCGCCAACCGCAGCCCGCACAGTATACTAGTACGATGATGGCTGTCCAGAGCAGGCACGATGTAATCAGTGTTATACAACCTTGGGGCCAGTGGGAGTCTCTGAGAGAATGCTGACGACTCGAGAGCGGAAGAAAACAAAAACAAAGGTAGCACCACTCATGGGCCTGGCCGGGAATTGAACCCGGGACCTCCTCCAAATCACGCTACCGACGGTGCGGCACCCTAAGAAGGAATCATACTACTAGACCACCAGGCCACGAGATACAATTACTTGTGTGGAATATATCGACACGCGAATTGCCTTGGACGCGTCACTCGTGAGCTTACGCGTCGGACGCGCGCCCTCACAAGCGTGAGGCTCGCTGCTATCTCACCTACTGCCACAATGTCCACACCACAAGCCTCGACGTCCGCGCATACCATAGATCAGCGCAGGAAAGATGCTCTCAAAGGTTACAGAGAGGTGTGTATCGCCTGCTACTGTCAAGCGCGCGACTCTAGACTCACTGTGTGGTACAGAAAATGCGACAACACGAGAACAGCAGCCAGAATCTCAAGAACCGTATGTCGCGCACGTCAAGTGTGCTCTGTGTCGCTACTGACGCATTGTCGGTTCTGCAGTCAGGTTCTCGCTGAAGGACCTCGAGAAGGACTTTGAGAAGACGGAAGACGACATCAAGGCCGTGCAGTCTGTTGGGCAGATTATTGGAGAGGTCATGAAGCAGCTGGACGATGAGAGATGTGCGTATTCGCGCCCCTCCTCTCCCTGGTCATGAGCGTGCTGAACCCGAGACTCCTTGCGGCAGTCATCGTGAAGGCGTCCTCGGGGCCCCGTTACGTCGTTTCCTACCGACCGACCTTGCCAGTGGCGAAGCTCAAGATGGGCACGCGTGTCAGCCTGGACATGACCACCCTCACCATCATGCGCATCCTGCCACGAGAAGTCGACCCGATGGTGTACAAGATGAGCTTGGAGGATCCCGGAGGAGCGACCTTCGCAGGTATCGGTGGTCTTGGCGAGCAGGTCCGGGAGCTGCGCGAGGTGCGTATACCGCAGTTGCATCCCAGTGCGAGACTGAGTCTCTCCGCTTAGGTCATCGAGCTCCCACTCCTGAACCCGGAGCTGTTCGTGCGGGTGGGCATCAAGCCGCCAAAGGGCGTCCTGCTGTACGGACCCCCGGGAACGGGCAAGACGCTGCTCGCGCGTGCAGTTGCCGCGACGCTCAACACGAACTTCCTCAAGGTCGTCTCGAGCGCGATCGTCGACAAGTACATCGGCGAGTCCGCGCGTGTCGTCCGCGAGATGTTCGGCTACGCGCGCGAGCACGAGCCGTGCGTCATCTTCATGGACGAGATCGACGCCATTGGTGGCCGGCGGTTCTCCGAGGGTACGAGTGCGGACCGAGAGATTCAGCGGACGCTCATGGAGGTACGTTCGTTCAACCTGCCCCAAACCTGCGCCGGGCTCACCGTTACTCTGTGATATGCGTAGCTGCTGAACCAGATGGACGGCTTCGACTCCCTCGGGAGGACAAAGCTCATCATGGCCACGAACCGACCTGATACCCTTGACCCTGCGCTCCTCCGACCCGGCCGTCTCGACAGGAAGATCGAGATCCCGCTGCCCAACGAGCAGGCACGACTGGAGATCCTCAAGATCCACTCACAACCGGTGAACAAGAGCGGCGAGATCGACTACGAGGCCATCGTCAAGGTGCGTCTCATCACTACCTGCCTCGTGAGAGTCCCAGAGGATGCTCATGCTCGATCTTGCAGCTGTCCGACGGCTTCAACGGCGCTGATCTTCGCAACGTCGTGACCGAGGCAGGCATGTTCGCCATTCGTGACGACCGGTACGTGGGCCCGGGTATATCTTTGCGTACACATGTCACTGAGACATGACTGTGTAGAGAATACATCATCCAGGAAGACCTCACGAAGGCGGCACGGAAAGTCGGCGAGGCGAAGAAGCACGAGAGTGAGTGACTGTCTTCCATGTCTCCCGGTATCATGGTCCTGACGGAGCCTACCCATAGCGAAACTGGAGTACTCTGCATAGGGCGGATAGATCTTCTCGGTTGTGTTCTGTATCATACCTTACGCTGTGTAACACGGACTTCATTGCATTCCCCTTCCAGCTTGATTAGAGTCATTCGGTCCGCGTGCGATCTTTTGTGTTTCACCCTGGGTTGCGATGAATTCAATGCAATTACGAGGCAAGTAACCAAGCAGTAACCAACTCGCAGTAAACACTACTAGCACAAGGTGGTAACACTCTGCTTACTGGGTTTGCCATAGGGTTAGGGTCAGGAGGGCGGAGGAGCAAAAAAGAGAGGGGCCTGCCCAGCCCGAGGGCCGAAGCAGGACAGGGAAATATTGAGACGGTGCACGAGCCGAAGCCCGTACAAACCGCGAGGTCCCCCTGAGGACAAGGTCGCCGTGCTATGAGAGGCCCCCACGGCCCACGGACCCTGGTACGTGAAGGGGCCCGTGCCATCAAGGTAAGTATGAGTTGCAGCGGTGTGCGGGAGGGGGTTATATACTGGAGGCGGGGTGCGCACGGACCAGGGGGCTTTAGGGTGGGTTGATGGGCTGATGCATGTCCAGGAGGGGCGGGCACAAGGCGGGCAAGCGAGGGCAAGCGGCGGGACTGATGCGCCTGAGCGCTTGCTCGCGGTGCACATCGTTTATTGCCCACCATGACTCAAGGTTCTCTACATATTCGAACACTCCAGCTTCGGCAGAGCGAAGTACGTGAATGCGCAACCTACCGTCTCGATGAACTGACGGACTCGAGGACTATGGTCTTGAACGAACACTGCAATCACTGGGCTTCTGACTACTGCTCGTACTTATCCTCGAACCAAGCCTCGGTCTCGTACACACTGGGCTACTATACACGTTTGCTTGTCGAACTGGTCCTAGCTGGCATCATGAGGTCGCCTTCTCAACTGCGTCCGCCATGTCTCCCAGCGTAGGGAAGACGAACAGCGCCTCGTCGCCCTTCGCATCCACCGGTCGACAGATCGCATTTGGCCTGTCTATCCAAGCCGTCGCGATGCCCCTGCCCCGCGCGGGGATGATGTCGTGCGTCATGCTCTGCGCCGTCATGAGCACCTCGTCCTGCGCGATCCCGAACTCGTCCTTCAGGTGCTCAAGCGCATACGTGAGCATCTCCGGCGCAGGCTTGTACGCGCCCGCGTCCTGCGCCGTGTACACCGCGTCGAAGGCGAACCCGCCGGGGCCCTCCATGAGCTTGCGCGTCTTCGCGATCGAGACGCGGTCGACGTTCGAGAGGATGACGAGCTTGAAGCGCCGCGAGAGCGACTTGAGCGCGGCGGGCGTGTCGGGGAACGGCGGCCACGTCCCGACGCTCTGCGCGAACGCCTCCGCGGGGCTCGGGGACTGGTCGAGCGTCGCGGTGGACGGGCCCACGGGCGCAGGGACCATCTCCTCCGTGCCGCTGCTGGTGTGCGCGGAGGACACGACGGAGGTTACGGTCGAGGCGTCGTCGCGGAGCGCGTCTGGGGGCGTCGGCTTGTTCTGGAGGCGCGCCTGGAGGGTGGTGTAGACCTTGGCGAGGAGGTCCGAGTAGAGCATGGTGGGGTGCCGCGCCTGGAGGTCGCGCTCGACGGCGAGGAAGGCTTCGATGACCGCCCGTCTGTCCGACGGCTTCCCGCTCGCCTCGAAGAGCGGGCGCAGGCCGGTGTAGATGCCCGTCTCCCAGTCCTGGATTTGCAAAGATCGCAGCGCGATAGAAGCAGGATGATCAGTTTGTGAGTTCCAGAGTACTGTCATTGGACGGACTCTCGACGTACTATGAGGGTGCCGTAGCAATCGAAGACCAGGGTCTTGTACTTGGCGAATGAACGTTCATTGGTAGTTGGGGACATGGTGGTGGGTATAGTGAACGAGTGAGAGGAAGTACGTACGTACACTGGTGCACCTGCGTCGAAGACGTCATACGCCCGAGTTATGTAACAGTTCTGGCTTTCCCCAACCTCTTGTAGTTGTACTTGTTGTACAGTCGCGACAACATATCGAAACATACAGATCTCACTTGCAGTCGTCAACGTCAAGTCCCCGGAGGTACGAGGATCTGAGTGGGCCGGCATGGGGATTCGGAAGTCAGGATGCGAACCACGCAGCAAGGAAACACCTCGAGCGCGTCAAGTGCACCTGGCTCCCTATCGCACTGCCCACGGTGACGATGACCATTGACCCCGTGTTCGACCATCGTGTCCGTTCATCATGCCGGCAGTCAGCCTAGACGACATATTGCGTGACTGAGACCCGGGCGGGAGGGCTCATATAGATATGCTCAAGGAGACAGAGCTCAGGTGAGTCATTCTGCCACTGCTCTTCTTCAGCTCTTCTTTCCCCCCTCCTCGCTCCTACACGACGTATACTGGTCCTCTGCGCCGTGCCATTGTTTCTATGTGAGCACCGTTCCGAGATGTCGTCCGGGATTCGCACTGGCGAAGTGCGGCAGACGCGTCCTGCTACAGGGCGAGACTTGCGCGCATTTCACGCGTCACGCATACATACATTGCTCGCGAATGTGCAGCACTACCGTTTCTACCATTCCGCTGTGAACTTGGCCCAACCATCCCCTGACCTGTGTGCGGACCTACTGACGGCACTCCGCAGCGTTCCGCCCAGCTCGCGTGGCCCTGATCGACAACTCTGACTCGCATTCGTCCAGCTCCGAGGCTTGCGCTCAACCAGATACCACTACCTATCTCCCAGCATGTCCTCCTCGACCACGAACGGTGACGCGAAGTACGGCGCGCAGCCGACCGCCATCCTTCATCGGACACCATGGCGCCCACCCGTCGCGTCTTCCGCGGAGGGTATATACATCACGCTCGAGGACGGAACGAAGCTCATCGATGCAGTGGGAGGTGCAGCGGTCTCGTGCATTGGCAACGGACACCCTGCAGTGAAGCAGGCGATAAAAGCTCAGGTCGACAAGGTTTCCTGTACGTCCTGGTCATCCACGATCCTGCCTCCTATGTATGTACTGATGGGGAGATGGTAGATGTGTACAACATGCAGCTCTCCAACGAGCCTGCAGAGGAACTTGCACATAACCTGATCGCGTCCAGCAAGGGCGCGTTTGATCTGGTTGGATTCGTATCTGGTGGTACGTACAGATCGAATTCTGCTCAGCATCACGGCGTAACGCGCACACATCTCAGGATCCGAGGCCATGGAGGGCGTCCTCAAGACTGCGCGTCAGTATTTCTACGAGAC